CTGAGTGTTTTCAGGCAGCAGCTGAGTTCTTTGTGGTGGACCCTGGTTCCACTGTTCTTTGGGCTCAGGGCAACATTTTGGTTGGCCGGTCCCCAGAGGAGACAGCAGCAGCGGGGTAAGGAATCAAAAGATGAGAAGCAAGAGGAAGATGACAATCTGTCCACCACTCCCACCAGTGTCAACTATCATTTCACACGTCAGTGCAACTATAAATGTGGCTTCTGCTTCCACACTGCCACAACGTCCTTTGTGTTGCCTCTGGAGGAGGCCAAGAGAGGGCTGCTGTTGCTTAAGGATGCAGGTAAGCCCTGAATCACAGAAGAAAATGACAATGCTCAACAGCAGGGTAGTGGGGGAAGACAGGAGTGGGATGGGGGTACACACGGGCTGGAGAGCTTCTCCAGACCTTGGAGGCAACATTTCCCACTGCACAGTGAAGATGCCATCCAGCAAGAAGGTTCAAGGGGAATTTTGGAGTGGGCACCTAGGTCTTCCGAAATTGCAGCGTTGACCTTGCTTTGTGAGTGAGTAGAGGAAACTCATCCCTCTTGCCTCTTTTAAGTGAGTGAAAGTATGTATACGCAAATGCCTGTCCCCTGTTCTGTCCAGTGTGTGGAAAAGGGCAGGTTGGGAAGAGTGGTGCTGTTTTCTGAGTTGGTTTAAACTCTGGACAGAGGAGGCAAAGCCTATTCTTAGGATCCATGCACACATGGGTTTGGTTTTTCCAGCCACAGTTAATGAGGAAAGTTAAAAGCAAAAACAAAAACAATCTTTGACATAAGAACAGCAATGTTTGACCCTTTCATTTTGGATTATTTATGTGCTCTTAAGATGAAATTTTTTTTAAAAAAAAAGCTATGCATAACTCAAATTTAGCAATGACTGTTCTCAAGACTGCTTACTGAACATTATCACATTAATATCTTTCAGGCATCTCAGATATAATCAGCATGCCCAATTTGAGCAACATCTTCCACTCCAGATCTGTTCTTCCTTCATTCCTTGTCTTCCTGTCTTTCTTCTAGCATCTCCTAAGGTAGCAACTTCAGCAATATTCTTAGCTCCTTTCTCTCCTTTATTATCCTTTTTTACTGAAGTTTGACATGCATGCACAAAATTGCACATATCCTAAGAATACCAGTTGATGAATTTTCACAAAGAGAACACAGGCATGTTAACAGCACTCAGATCAAGAAAGGAAATATCACTAGTGTCCCAGAAGCCTTGCTCCCTTCCAATTACTACCCTCACCCCCAAGGGCAATTGCTAGCTTGTCTTCTAACACATGGATTAGTTTGGCTTGACTTTTTTACTTTAGATAAATGAAATCATATAGTATGGACTTTATGAGGTCTGACTTATTTTTCTCAGTATTATGTTTGCTTATGCATCCACGTTTCATCTGTCAAGTAAAGACCTGCCTCGCATCCCTAGCATGCTTAGTTCATTTCTCTCCAGATCTAGAGTAACTCATCTCGTTGTCTCTGCTCTTCCTCCTACTGATAACACATTATCTTATTTATTTTGATGATGCAACTCCCCACCTAACTGTCTTACGTGACTTACAAGAGAGTATCGTGCAAAAGAGAGATTAAAAGACCAAATTTGGTAGCATGTTCTGCAACGCCCTTCTGAAACTCATTGTTGCCATAAGCATCCTTTACCCCAATTGCCTTAAATCGTCTCTCTTGTAGATACATCATAGTACATCCACTCTCCCAAAACACATGCATCGTCCATCCTCTGATCATACTAGTCTCTCCTGGAATGCCAGCCACCAAAATCTCTGTTGGTGAGCTTTCAAAACTCCTTAGAATTCTTCTTGGTCTTCTTCAGGCAGAATTAATGTCCTTCCCCTTCATGGCACTTTCACTCACATTTAATACAGCACTTTTGAAATTGTGCCATGGTGTTTTCTTGTGTTTTTAGCATCTGGGTCTCCAAAGAGTTTGAGTTCTGAGGTTGAATCATAGCTTTGAGTGTACCTCTGGGACCTACAAAAATATCTAGACTATAACGGGGGCTTAGTAAATGTTTTCAGATGGACAAATGAATGAGTGAGGAGGTTTGGTGCAATGGGAAATACTGAGACTCTTGTTTCAGAAAACCAGGGTTTGAGTTTGATCTCTAGCACTTACTAGTTTTGACAGGTTATTTAATTATTCTGAATATCAGTTTTATGCCCTTTAAAATGTAGATAATGGTAACAGATATACCAACCTCAGAAAGTAGCTATGAGGCACAAAGAAGTGAATGCTTATGTGTATTTCTTATAAATTATAACTACAGCAAATCCTTATAATTAATGGTTTATATAATGACTTCTCAGTTGTAAGTAAATGAGTAAACTCAAAGTTAATTATTTATAAGGTATAGTATGGGTTTCCTTTCCTGTAAGTGATATTCTCTGGCTAATAGAGAAAATGTATTTTTGTGATGATTAAAAATTTAATTTAAATGCATATTATATTTAAATTTACAGTTTATTCTTCTGGCTAAAGGTGCATATAAAATGTTTTATGTACTTCTCTGACTTGTAAACAGTAAAGACAGAACAGGATTTAAATATTATAAACATCATTTTTTTATCTTTGCTGTAATATGATCATTCCTTGCCTGTTAACACCATTGTGAATTAATTGCTCCTGTCTAACATACTGAAGAAGAATTGACACCTTTGAGTTATGATTTTGGTGAAGGATATTGAATATATTATGGATTGCCAAAAAAAGAACAAATCCATCTTGGAAGAAGTACAGCCAGAATGCTCCTTAGAAACAAGGATGGTGAGACTTCGTCTCACATACTTTGGACATGTTATCAGAAGGGGCCAGTCCCTGGAGAAGAACATCACGCTGGGTAAAGTAGAAGGTCGTTGAAAAATGTGAAGACTGTCAACAAGATGAATTGACACAGTGGCTGCAACAATGGGCTCAAGCATAACAACAATTGTGAGG